GAGTTCGTATGCGAAAGTTATGAATTTCTGAAGTTCGGGGCGCGAAACCCCAAAACTGTCAAAGTTCACGACGTGAATACAGTGTTCACGACGTGAACTCGGTATTTATGACTTCTGGAGCCTGAAAGACGTAAGTTGCGATGACGCACCTGATGACTATTGAACTCACGACGTGAATATTTGAGATTCACAACGTGAATCCAGAAAAATGGCCCTATAAATAGAATTCAAGGGGCAGCCGAGTTTGGTTGCTCAATCTCTTCTCTCCCACTCCCGATACTCTCTCTAAGTCCTATTTTAACCCCCCGAAGCCCCGGTATCATCCCGAGACACGAAGCAAGTCCCGAAGCCCGAAGATCCCGAGAAGAAAAGAGTTTCCGAGCCGAAGCTCTGCCTGCGAGAAGCCCGGTGTGTGAAGATCTTCCAGTTTCACCGAAGAAGTACTACTCTTAGAGCCGTAGTGCTGTCCGATCATCTTCTGATCAAGTGAGTGTATACTCCCTTTCATAAGGACGATTTTAATACAAGTATTGTTTGAATGTATTAAGTATATGTTTGGTGTGAGTGTGTAGTTACTTTCTTCTACCGCATAGATATGAAGTATTTACTATGAAATACGTGCTATGTGTTTATACGTTGTTTGCTTACTTGAGATGGCTGTTGAATGAATGTTTTATACAGGTTTTTAAATGATTTAAACTATATATGTAATTTATATCTACAAATATGTTGGGTAGAACATGGGTAGATGAAATAGTTGGTGTGTGAGGAAAGATGAGTTTGAGTATGAGACTTAGTGCCTAAACCCTGGTGACTATGCAGACTTAGTGCCTAAACCCTGGTGAGTATGCAGACTTAGTGCCTAAACCTTGGTGACTATGGAGTTAGCGCCTGTTAAAGTGAACCTTGGTGACTATGGAGTTAGCGCCTGTTAAAGTGAACCTTGGTGACTATGGAGTTAGCGCATGTTAAGTGAACCTTGGTGACTATGGAGTTAGCACTTGATAGCTATGGATTTAGTACCTAATAGATAAACTTTGGCAGCAATGGACTTCGTGCCAATTCCTTAGGTCAATCCTTAGGAACGAATGAATAAAGGATAGTTGATTCTTAGGGTAAAACCTTAAGAAATAAAGAAGATAATGGGGATGGGTAATTGGGTTGATTGTTTGATGATTAAATATAATAATTATATTATTGTGGGTTGAAAACCCTATATGCTCACCAGGCTCCCAAACCTGACCCAATCAGTTTTCTTTGCATTACAGGTAATGGCACAAGAGTATAAGTTGGTGGACTTGACGAGAGATTTTGGATTATAGATCAGTAGTTATAAATAACTGTTGTAAGGTCTATTTTATACTGTTTATGCTTTTGGTCTGTATCGGAACATGACATCCCGAGATTTTGTTATTTAATGAAAATACATTTCTTTAAAGAAATGCTTTGATAAATTCTTATCACATTTTGTTTTGGGAACAAATTCCGCAACTGTTTTCTGTAAACGATTACTCTGATTTTAAAACAAAGCATAAACAAATCGGTCTTTTCTGGCCGTGAAAATGGGGATGTCACAGTACCCCCCATGACCCGATGCCCGACCTCCCCCCAGCAAACCGGGGTCCTGCATCTCCTCCCATATAACATCTCAAAAGGCGGTCGATCAATACTGGCATGATAACTGTTTTTGTAGGAGAACTCGGCCAGTGGAAGGTGAGTATCCCAACTCCCTTCGAAATCTAATACACAAGACCAGAGCATATCTTCAAGCGTCTAAATCGTCCATTCGCTTTGGCCGTCTGTCTGGGGGTGGTATGTTGTACTACAATGTAGTTGAGTACCCAACTCCTCATGAAACTTCCTCCAAAACCTAGAGATGAAGCGAATATCTCGGTCCGACACCACCAAAACTAGCAGCCTATGTCGAACAACCACCTACCAAATGTAGATATCAACTAACTTCTGAGTAGATATACTCTCCGCAATCGGTATGAAGTGTGCACTCTTGGTCAATCTATCTACAACGACCCAAATAGAATCAACTCCATGTACCATCCTAGGCAGATTTGTGATGAAATCCATGGTAATCTCTTGCCACTTCCATATGGAAATTGGTAAGGACTGCATCTTGTTGTGGGGTCTCTGATGTTCGGCCTTGACTTTCCTGCAATCCAGACACCGCTCAACAAACCAAGCTATTTCCCTTTTCATACAGGGTCATCAATAACTCAACTTCAGATCCATGTACATCTTCGTGGCCCCCGGATGGGCCACCAGAACTGTCCGCCTCGCCCCACCAGTTGTCAGAACCTAGACTCTACCACACTGAGTCAACAACCCCCAACTATCTCTGATAACTAAGGGAATCTTCCCTCTGATCCGCTTAACCTTCCAATTGTCCTTTTTCAATCCCTCCACCTGAGCTTTTTTTTATCAAATCCAACAAAGGCGAAGTAACAACCATCATCAAACAAATATCCCTGATAGGAGAACTCACAGCCTTACGGCTCAACGCATCGGCCGCCACATTGGCCTTCCCGGGGTGGTATAGGATATCGCAATCATAATCTTTTACCACATCCAACCATCTTCGCTGCTACATATTCAAATTTGGCTGATCCATCAAGTACCTCAAACTTTTATGGTCAGTGTAAATAGTACACCTAACCCCATAGCTTTTAGATTTTGAGTGTTTTTTTTAAATTAACGCTAAAAATTTGTAGTTCCAAAAATGGTTTTTTGTTCAAAACGAAACGTTTTTTTCAAACGTTAAAAACTACAAGCTCACAAACGCTCTGTACTAAACACGTCAATTAAATCTAACTCGTTTATACTTTTATTTGTTTCACTAATGTTTAGCTTCATGTTAATACTTCTTTTTATACAAGTAAAAAAAATTAATGATGTATTACAAAATTTAACATTAAATAATCTAAATTGCAAATAAACTTAAATTACAGTTTTGGTAGGGATTTATATCAATTTCTGTTTTTAATCCAAAGTTTTATATCAAAATTTTAAGTACAATTTTTGAATTTTTGATATAACTTGTCTATGTTGTTTCCAAAAGTTTCAACTTAAAATTGTAATTTCTTATACCATAATGGGCCATTTTTGTAAAAAAAAATAGTTTTAAAAATTAAAAAACCCTGAAAGTCAACATCCATCGATGATCACCTTCACATATACCATGGTTGCTTCTTTTTTTCTTCATCCAACTAGAATCTACCGCCCCACCTTCACATATATCATGTTGTTTCTTTTTATCTTCATCCAACTAGAATCTACCGCCCCCATCCCCTCAGACATCACCAACACTCACCACTCTCCCTCCCTCATTTGCCACCTACATCTAGAAACCATCATTGCCCACCGTTTACGTCTAACCTCTTTCCTTCCTCAACCTCCAACCACCGATAATGCCATCTCCATCTTCGGAAAGGCAACCATCGTTAGCCACCCTCTCTCCAGCGTTATCTACTACCTCTACCTCTAACTTTGGAACCCACTAGATCTACTCTGTCTCTCCTGCCTCATGCTACCCTTGGAAATGACCACATCCCCTACCACCAAATCTCTCTGCCCAACGTACATGTGGTTGTCCAACATTGACATCTTAACGGATCTCTCTAGCTTATAGGTGTCGACCGTCACTTGTTTTGATTTTAGATTTAAGGTTTCAATTTTGTGGTGGTGATGATATTGATTATCAAAAGATGGATGATTTTAGTGATGGTGGTGGGTTAGGGTTTCGGTGGTTGTGGTAGTGATAATGATAGTAGTGTGATGGTTAGTGGATCTAGTTGTAGCATAGGTAATGGTGCCGATTATGGTTGGTTTCTGGCGGAAGTGGGTGGTCGTTGTTGGGTATTATGATGGTGTTGGTATTAGTGATTGAGTGATATGGTGGTTTTGGTGATTGGTGGTAGTGATTAGTGGTGTGGGGGTTGGATAACTAGGGTTATATGTATGTTAATTAAAATAAATAGTATAATAAAAGGTACAAAATACAAAATGATACACACATTCATCATTTGCAATGTACCTAACTGACCATCTTAACATCTAACCATGGGTTGCAACTTTTGAATGAACCATGTCAAAATTTTGATAATTAAACTAAAAATACAGATTGATAAACTAAAGGGACTAAAAATGTAATTTTAATCATTTTCACCCAAATGAAAATGGAGGCCAATATCTTTTATGGCGCTCCATTTTAGTTGCCCTAAAGGGAAGCTGTCGGATAAGGTCTCCGTGTCACTCTTCCACTTATTTCCTCACACGTGTTCATCCGCCCACAACTTCTACAGCTCCTATCGGACCCACATCTCTGTCTCACGCGCTACTATCCACGTGCATCACGTGGCTTCCTTTTTTTAATTTTTTAAATTAATACACTCCAAATTCAATGCTCTGTACCCTTGCAAAGTTTCTTATTTTTTCCCATTTACAACGATATCGACAATTAAGGATTTTTAGTGCATAATTTAAGTATAAAAATACGTTCTTCATATAAACCATATTAAAGGGCATTTTAAGTAATGTTATCATTTTCAGTTATTAACATAAATACAACTGATCTTAAGTTAGCAAAATAAAAAAAAATAAAAACCATTTTTACAAGTCAAAATGAGAGTGTTTTCCAGTTTGAACGAACGCGTCACTGGTACGGATGAAATAACTCAATCCTGAAACTCATGTGGCATCCGTATTCCGTAGACACGATTTCGCCGGCGATTACGACGGAAAATTGCAAATTAGATAACATGAATGGATCTGTATGCACCGATCTACAATAATTTGATACCGGAAAACTTGTAAAAAGTCACATTAATAAAAAAAACGTTGAATAATTCTACAAAATGAACAACAAGAGGAGAAATTACGCTACATTTCTCTAATGTTGCAAAGAAATTGAGATCTGATTTAGAATTTACAGTCGAGGATGTTGACCGACGAAAAAGATGATACCGATGAAAAAAAGGTTAAGATCAATATCAGGTTGATTCAGCTGGTGGAGGAAGGTTAAGATCGATGGCGATGCGTTGTGGTTGTGGTGCCGGAGTTGGTAACGGCTTCAAGTCGATAATAGAGGATGAGTTCGAGTCATCGCTCCGTGCAACGCTAGCAGATGGCCGGAAAAGTACGGGAGGGCGATTGTAGCCGCCGCTATGGTGAACTTGAACTTGTCCGGAGAGGAAGATCCCGTCGAAATAAAACATTTGATTCGACTGCGGCGAGAAAAATCCGGTCACCGTACCTGCGGGTGGAGGAAAACGATACAGATTCTTCTGGTGGAAAGGAAACTGTACCACCGACGGAGCGGGGACGCCGTAGGAGAGGTTGAGATCCAACGACGGCACTACCGATTCCGCCTCTCGACCCGCGGACTCGACGGTACTTCCCTGACTCGTACTCTGTTGACTCACTAAACTCGCTTTTTTAAACAACTCATCGTTTTCCACTTTCAACAAACAATTATCTTCATACACTGGAAAATTGGTCTTGGCTTTAGCACCACGAAACTCACGCGCCGCCGCATCGTACGCCCTAGCCGCCTCCTCAGCCGTATCGAATGTACCTAACCACACACGGCTTTTCTTTCCGGGATCACGAATCTCGGCGGCGTATCTCCCCCATGGCCTCTTCCTTACCCCTCTAAAATGCGCCTCTTTTACTAGCGGACCAACACCGCTATTGGCGGCGTTTGCTTTGACGACAGCCGGTGTTTTCTCTCTAGGCGACATTGAATAGGATTTAACGGTAGAAAAAGGAAAGGTTTGACGGCAGTTTAGAGAAAGAAGAGAATGAGGGGTCGATTATATAGGAAGAGATGAGGAGAACCGGTCAACGATAGGAGCGTAGACGGGGGGCAGCCGCCCATAAAGGCGGGGGGGTTACGTGGCATGGCGGCATCATATTTTCCATTAATTTTATATATTCTTTATTTTTTTATTTAATTTTGCTTTCTTAAGCGGCTGAAGAGCTTGTGACGCCACGCGCTGGTCTATAAAATTTGTAGTAGAGCTACATATAAGTCTATATAAAACATTTACAAATTTGGATAAATGGTCCCTAAGGTTTTTGAGATTTATAAGTTTCTGCCTCTAACTTTTTTTTATTATATGGATAGTCTATGTTGTTTTCATTTTTTTTACGTGTGTGGTCATTATCCTTTTATTTAATTACAAATTTGATCTGATATTAGCATTTTACCCTTTATTTATTTATTTTTCATTTTTAATAGTTATTTTAAATTTAAACAAATATTTGTTACGTAGATATATTATCTAACCTTAAAACCACCTCCCCACGACATAATCGTCTTATCCCCCTTGCCACCCTAGCTCTCTACCGTTGGTAATTCCCCAAAAAAATCACTTATCATTATCTCATCCTCACCTTCCAAATGCACTAACTAATCTCTCATGTTTCATCCTCGTGTGTTAATTTCAAGACTAGTTCCATCTTCATAAGAAAAGTTTCATGTCTTCATCATCTTCCACAACAAATGCCACTGTCACTAACAGTTTTAAGCTTTGTTACTTTGACTCTAAGAGTGTAAGGTATGGGTCTCGTTGAGACTCCTCGTGGCTGAGGTGGACGCCCAAAACGGCGTTGCATCTCGTTGTACACCCCCCCCCCCCCCTTCTTGTTGTGTTGCTTCTCATGGTAACGACCACCTACAACAACGACGTCTTCTTCTTCTTTCTTCCTCTGCTTTTCTTCACCTTAACAGGCTATAAAATGAAAACACCATCCCCTAATCTCGTTGTGGAGAGAAGATGATGACGTGGCTGCGTTGTGGGTGGGTATGGGTGTTGCCCATACCCAATGCTCTAAAAGTGAGTTTTCATAGGGTTAGATTTTCTAAAAATTAGGTAGAGAGAGAAAGACCTTGAATGTGAAAATTAAGAAAGAGGGAGTTTCGATTAATCTTTTTTCGTCCTCACTAACAACCTATTGAACCATACATACCATTGATTCTTACTGATTTTTATTTAATGATCCCCAACGACCATAAGCATGTTGATTTTTAGCTTGTCCACCAACAACTAATTATAAACCTTCATTTCGTTTACACCAAACACAAGACCATATGGCTTGTACAGACGAGCTTCATAGTCTTCAGACTTAGAAACCCTTAGTGTATGTTAATCTGGGACAGACTTGCATAACTCAATTCTCCTTCATCACAAACCTATGTTGTCAAGAAAAACTACTTGATTGCATAGATTCAAAGATGTGTGTTAGAATTACAAATAATCTCGTTCTCTCCCTTTCTCTCTGTCTTTCTACCTCCTAAAGCCTCCTATCATTGACTACGTTCCACAACACATCAAAAATCTCCCAATTGTATTCTCGTTCTTCAAAGTTGGGGAATAGGAGATGTGGCCACCGGATAGGAGAAATGGAACGAGTGGGGAGATGAGTTATATTGGGGGTGACGGGGTGTAGGGTTTTATTTAATTTTTTTAATTAAAATTAATCAAATACAAAAGATAAAATAAACTAACGAGTGTAGAAATGTTATTTCACTAGGATAAAGATCAATCATACAACAAATTAAAACTACAATGATCATCCATATAACAAAGCAAGATTAAGATAAAACTTACAAATATAGAAACCATTTCGACTATTTATCTAACTTTGTTAAAACTAAAATGGTGTCTCTATTTTTTATTTAAACTAAAGTTATACATTTCCTTTATATATATATATATATATATAATATATATATATATATATATATATATATATAGCTAGGTTAATGTGTTTCTTATATTTATTATGTGCTAGAATGCACCAATATGAATTTAGTTAAATTAAATAACTATTTAATTAAATAAAGATATATATTAAATTATTTCCATTATTGTATGTATATTAAATGATATCCATAATTATAATTCTCTTTTTATGGAAACTAATTAAATTCGTCATTTATGTCACCGATAATAATCTTTCAGAATGAATTCGCATCTAAATTTTTATGTATGGGTTCGTGTTTTGTTTTAAGACTCACTCACTTCAAATACAATAAAGTTGCATTGAATATAAAGAACGAGAGTGTATTCTACTAGAATACACTCTCATTCTGCTAAAATACACTTTCATTCTTCTAGATACAAAATCATTCTGAAAAAAATATTATTGCTGACATTAATGACAAATTTAATTAGTTTCCATAAAAAAGAAATTATAATTATTGATATCATTTAATGTCTATATAATTGTGGAAATCATTTAATATCTATATTTATTTGATTAAATAATAATTTAATTTTACTAAATTCTTATTGGTGCATTCTAGCACACAACAGAAGTGAGAAACATTTGAACCTACCTCTCTCTCTGTAACATACACGTTCAGTTATCGTGTTATGTAATTTTAAAAGTGAATAATATTATGAAATATTATATAATTATGAGTATTGAGTTCTAACAGATAGTTTTTACTAGAAATGAAGTAAAACTATGTTTACAATCACTCGGAAAATATTGGAAGTTTTATGAGATTCCAATTAAAAGACAAATATCGAAATTTAACGAAAATATAAAATTTGAAATAAGTAAAATTTTATTATTGAAAGTTGTAAAGAATCTCGTTAGAAACATTTAGGCGAAAACCTCATCGAAATCCGAGTTATAACGAAGAAGTTATGACCAATCGAAGATCCGCGACAAAACCGGCACGACACCAAATGACGTAATAAGTGAGTTTTTGATAAACTAATTTTTAGCCTTAGTAATCTAAATTAAAGTCGTAGTATTTGTTAAACCGAGAATTATGATAAAAAGAACGCCAAAATCTGACTTCGTATGAGGAAGTTATGATTTTTCTAAGTTTCAGCTTAGCAGTAGACAGCTAAAAAACCTCGAATTTTAGATCGAGTGATTTTTAGCCAACACAACCTAAACGAGAATCGAAGGTCTCGTCATTAGTAGTACAACGGTAAAAAGACAGACGAAAACGGACATCGGATGAAGAAGTTATGAATTTTTAACGGATTTACCTGTCCCGGTCTGTTAAAAATAATAATATTAAAAATAAAGTCAAGATTAGCCGACGAAGTCTAAACGAAAGTTGTAGAGCATAGTTTTACCTACGCATGCATATAAAGAACGTCAAAAACGGAGCCCGTATGCGAAAGTTATGGATTTTAGAAGTTTTGGGTTCAATTTCCAAGAAAATTCGCATGGATAAGCTTCATCCGGACCAGCCACGTCACCCTTGCTCCGAGCTGGCCGTGTGTCCGAAGCAGCTGCGTCATCCGAGTCGTGGCGCGTCCGAGGAGCGACGCGTGTCGCACAGGTGTCCGATCCATGAGTCATCCGAAGCGGAGGTCCAACCGGAGTCCGACGCGTGTCTGTCGCGTGTCTCGCCCTCGCAACCGCCACCTGCCCGCTTCACTGCTGACGTCTGGCACCTCGCATGCGAAGCCACGAGCCCTCTCCGGATCCGAAGCGTCCCCTATAAATAGAAGGCTGCGAGCCTTCCCGAGTAAATTTGGAAAATTGCAAATTTTGACCCCTAAACCCATTTTTTAAGCTGTTTCCACTTCCCCCGAATCCCCGGGATTGTTTCCACTTCCCCCGAAGCCCCGGGATTTTTAAGCTGTTTCCACTTCCCCCGAAGCCCCGGTTATTTCACGGTGAGTTTAATATATAGGAACAATTGTATGTTATGTGTTAAATGTGCTATGTGCTTTTCAGTGTTATTATTCCGAGTTATTTTCCCGTGTGATTTTTTTATTTCTGCTATTTATGATAGCAAAGTTATACCTTTGACCATGTGATCAGTGAAAGGACTTAGATTCACGGTGGTACTGGTACGTAGCCTCTGGCCATGTAGAGCATGTCTCCGTAAGAGAATGACTTCTATTCTATGGCATTGGCAGATGGTTAGACAGGGCTATAAGCCTGAAATCTATCGAAATGTTTAAATCAGAAAGTGTATGTCTTCTGTGCCATTTGGGCCGAAGGTTTATTTGTGTATATCAAGTATAGAAATTGTCATGTCTCATTGATCGTATATCTTTGAATCAAATCATTGATTGATATGGAAAGTTTGTCTCATGATTCACATATGTCTTTGTTGTTCCTTGTTCCTCTTTGCTTCTGCCATATTGAAGTATATATATGGCATAACGTTATATTGTGTCTATTATTGAACTCACTAAGCGTCACCGCTTACCCCTCTCAGTGTTTAACAATTGCAGGAGATAAGTAACCAGTATGGTTATATACTGTCGGAAGATGTAGAATAGTTTTTACTATTACTTTTGTATTTCGGTTTATGTTTGTATAAAATTACAATATCCTGGGTAGTTATGTAAAATATTAAAACATAGTCGGTTTGTATCCAATCTTTTGTAATCACTTTATCAATGTAAGATATTGTTTTATAAATATGCATGTAGCATGTTTTGGAGTAACAATTGTCAAGTATGAAAGTTTGGGTCTTTCAGAAATACGAAAGTTTAGAAAGGGGTTCTTTCACTGATGGTATCAGAGCACTAGTTTAAGCGAACTAAATATCACGGATTGATATTTAGACTTAAACTGTCTAACGTTCAATATATGAACGGAGTCATTTGTAAGTATATGGATACAAACCATAGGAAAGACTTAAGTGGGGTATTGGGTAGTGATAAACCCTAGTATTCTAAAATATTAAGTTACTTTAAAAAATTTCAGAGAATTAGTTTAAGTGAACTAGGAATTTTGAGAATTTCTATAC